AAAAAAGGAACAAAGGATAGTATGAGACTGGAGGTAGAGGCCACAAAAGGCAGGGCATCAGGTGATGTGTCCACAGTAAGAGGACTTCATCTTTTGCTTCTCGATCTTCCGTCTCAGCTACCATCTCCATCATCCTCATCACCCCCACCATCACAACCACCACCACCACCACTACTACTACTACTACTACTACTACTACTACTACTACTACTACTACTACTACTACTATCACTACTACTACCACCACCACCACCACCACCATGCCTGGTAAGTACCACCTCAGACAATTGCACATCAATACACACCTATAAACCCATACTTACTGTGTTCTTTTAGCCAACGAAGTGAGTATACTCTCAAATACTCTATGTTACTTATTCCCTCGCTTTCACTCGTCAACAACAGCACCCAGTCAACTAGTATACAATACCTCACACTATCATCACAACATAGCTCATTTGTGTTATACTTGCTCCTGATACTAACTAAAGTTCATTGCAGGAGCAGCAGCAGCAGCAAGAGCAGCAACAGACCGGGCCGGGGCCCGCCGAAACTGTTAGTACAGGATACTATTGTTTTCATTATGATAGTATCTAATGACATACACATAGACCCCGGAGGAGGCCGCCGCGAAGGCGCAGAGGCGGCGGGAGCTGATGGAGGAGTTTTTTCGCCTGGAGGACGAGTATATAAGCCATCTCGATGTCGAGGAGAAACAGCGGCGCTGGAATGAGCGGAGAGAGGTGCTGGTGAACGCTCTCGCGGCCGTTGACGAGTACATCCGCCTCCAGGAGGAGAATGGTTGGGAGGACGAGACCGAAGACGCCTGAGAATGAGAACTTCTTTTCTTCCTTTCTTTCTTGATATACTTCACTACTTTCTGAGTAGGTGTAGTCCGCCACATTCCCGTACTAAATGTAGCAAGACCCATACGATCTACGAAGCCTGTAAGGATACCCCACTGGTGTGCATGACATCCTTCGCCAGTATGGACTCGCTGTAGGAAGGAAATCAAGCAACAATAAAATACCAGTAGAGACCTAGAAGAATGGCTGTTGAGAGAATTATCCCAAGGGAGATACATTACCATTTTCTACCGAGTACATGCTTAGCGCAGGAAGACACTACTTTATAGTATTGGCGGTTGCCGTGGCCGGTTGCTCTTAAGGCCTTGCTCTCCAAGTAGCCAGTGTCTTCCGCGGACAGTATCACCTTGTCCTCTAAGATGTCTTTTTCTACGCTGATTCTATCTCTCTCACTCCATCCCCTTCCTTAATACTCGCTTATTTTCGTCAGCATCTCATTTACCCTTCGCTAGGAGATCACCTCATATTATCACGAGTCGATGAACCGCGAGCCTCTCTATTCCCACCCGCGTTAATTTGATGATAATTAGCGACTCTTCAAAGATCCATGCCCACTCTATACCCAGCCGCTGACCTCTTGCTTTTCTTCAGTGCTATCCCATTATCCGAGGCTCTCAGTATCTATGAATCACGCCCATCATCCACGAGGAAGACCTCATCAACTCTGCTACCTCCCTTCACCCGACATCCCTCTCCATACCACTCGCTTCCTATACAACGATGCGAACTACCACTCGTCATAACCAACCTCCGTATCTGCGTCCAGCCCATCATCCACAGCAAACAACCACCCAGGGCAGTGCTACCACGGCATAACAAACAATAATAGGGAGGCTAGTACACATGAACCAGAAGGAGACTCCCGACTGAAGTTAAATCATTGTCCAAGAAACGCCCCAATGATAATGCTGTTTTGTTTCAATTTCTTCCAGTAAGCCTTCCTACATTTTGATCTCAAGCACTAGAGTTTCAGAGTCTCTCGCGAGAGCTGATTCTTGGGTCTAGTTCAAGTAATAGGTCGAGCTTTTGTTCCCAAAGCATCAGTTAATACGAAACGCCTATAACCCTTACTATACGATGTCGGGTTCTCGCTGATATTGAGTTGCGTGTTAGACACTGCATCAGTGTCAGCTAGATAAACCATGCTGACTTATTCTTGTCTATGTCAGTACCCCAGGTAACCGTGTTACGCATGTGCTTTTGGTTGCTTCTTCAAAGCGCCGTTGGCTCGATATGAACCATTGGACTAGAAAACTGGCAAGCAAGTCTACATTGATCTTGATGCTTTCTGACAGCTAGGTCATTTGCATTATTCCAAGACTTATTCTCACAAGAAGTCCGATTTTGTGCTTTAGAGGCTAGGGAGACTATGTCATATTGGCTTCTTGCTCAATGGTATGTGCGTCCTAGGCTGCTGTTAGTGAAGAAGATGAGTGCAATACAACAAGTCTTGTCTGGTCGCCGACGAGCGGTTTGGCCGCAGCCACGAGCCTTAAGTTTAAACGTATGTCCACTTCAGCGCAACATATCATTCGCTTGCTGCTTCCTGCTTCGTGAAGCCATTCCTGTAGTTTCTCAACCGATCAGATACCCGTAGCCCAGCCTCTCTGCATCCCCTCATGGTCCAATATGCCTTTTCGCCACTCCCAGTAGCTTTCGGTATGGTCGTGTTGTGGGACAATGTATCAGCGTGGTCCCGTTGGGGCCTCCTCACGTCTTGTTCTATGTACATCTTGGCGATACAAGTGGTTGTTCACCCCATAGACTGCATAAACGCTTTCTCATCTTAACACATCCCTTACACGTCAATAAAACCGGCCCGTTCAGGAGGTCTATGTTCTCTAGATTGCTCAAGACTGATCAACTTTGATTAGCACGAGGAACTTCCACAAACGAGCCACAGGTGTAAGTCACTAACATTGCTCCTTTTCCATTTCCAACCTGCACTTGGCACGCCTATTGAAAGCTGATACAAGCGCCGGCTTTGAAGATGACAAAGGTGTCACCGTGGAAGGTCTATGTGTTAGCTCAAGGTCTCGACTGTAATCTAAATGGGAATTCGCGGGCAAGACAGTGATGCTTTGAGGGTGAGAGTAGCGAGAATTGGGGTTAATTCATACATTGATTAATCATACCTACAATAGCCAGCATCACATTTCAGCGCTCATCTTGGTCTCGCTTCTTGGCGATCAACACCGGACACCGCGTGAAGGTGTGAGCATGTGGCTGGGCCACATCGTCCGGCTACTGCACCATAGCCGCACCCTATGATGCAGTACCAGGTTGGCACATGCCTTCCTGGAGGGTGATGCGTATGCCTTGCATACACTTCAATGACACTCTATGTGTCAATGAAACCCCTTAACGAAGTCCCTTTCTACCATCACAACAGTGACAGACGGGTTCATGGGAAACTTCCCACGTAAACTTCGATATTTGCGGTCGGAGTCTCTTGCTTCTAACAATGAGTGCAATATCACGACCGGCCGTCACCTCAGTTCTCCATGGATCTGGCTCCGGCTTTAACGAGACGGTGTAGTGGGCACGCGATGTCTCTTATCCTCGATGTAATGACAATCACACCGAGGACACATTGTTGTGGCCGACTATGGGTTCACAAGATCTCCCGTCGTGAAGTCCTCAACAAGTCCACAGTTGCTATTGCTGCAAACTATGGGTGCTTTATCCTTGCGTAGTTGACGCATCCGATCCAGCCCTTGCGGCCCTGGGTCATCAGTTGTCCGCATGGAGCCACTGTGGCTAAGCGTGTAAAACACTTAAGTCCACCGGCAGCGCGGGTACCTTCAGAGGCGCCATATATTGGGTCCTCTTCCGACCATAGCCTTTTGCTGTTTCTTGTTGAAACAGCAGACATGACACAAGAGTTTACCTGAGAAGAGGAACTAGAGCGATGCATGCGACTATTGCCTCATGCAAAGGTTTCTGAGACTCGAGCTGTTCGCAACAAACTCAAACTGTTCGCAACAAGCCCAAGCTATTCGCAACAAGCCCAAACTATTCGCAACAAGCCTAAGCTATGTGCAACAAGCTTTCATCAACTGAAACCACCCACGTCCTCTCCAGCATTCTTCCGGATTGCAAGGCTTCCTGCAATCTTGGCCGAATTCAGCTACAGGAAGGGCCCCTTTGTGCCAGTCAAGACTGTCATGGTTCGGCATGTACCCGGCATAGTGCCTTTGGCAATTCCTGAGCAGAGCAAAGTCTAGCTATAGCTAGACCCTGCTCGGTACAGCTATCCAAGCAACGGTGTGATCCTACACAGGTTTCACAGCGGGTATTGCCCAGGTGATCCATATCACCAGGGACAAAACCGCACCCGTCGCCATGAATGGGAGGTAGAGAGCCTCTAAGACTACTCCCTTCTCAAAAACAATTTGAGGACCACCCTTGCGGTTTGTCAGTCGCCTTACGCAAACTTTGCGCAAAATGGCATTGACAATGACAGTGGACAAATGCCAATGAATAAGTGACTATCACTTCTTCGAACTTGGCATCACCATCGACATCGCCGGGGTAAAAGAGACTCTTCTCATCCCTGACGATATCACTGTCATCGACTCCAAGCTATAGTGAATGCCGCTGGCATTCAAGCTTGTCGTTTGGTGACGACTTAGCATTGTGGACTCTGTCCAACTTGCTATTCTCACCCAGTATTCTGGGTCACTGACCCGGAACACTTTGGATGATGAAACTAATATACACTGTATACTCTGCTCGTCGTCTAGTGACAGATTTAGCGTGCTGGACCCTTGGCCAGCCTGCTATTCTCATCCATGTTTCTGGGCCACTGACCCGGATACACTTTGGATGAGAAAGCTGATATACCTTGTATACCAAGCTCTCTGTCGTGTGATGAAACAGTGTGCTGGACCTCTTGGCCAGCCTGCAGTTCCAGATGAAGCTCAATACACATGTATCAAGCCGCCGTCTAGCGACGTATCATCCTGCTGGACACCTTGGCCCAGCCTGCAGCACTGTTGAAGCTGACATACACAGTATATCAAGCTCTAGCGACGTATCATCCTGCTGGACCTCTTGGCCAGCCTGCATTTTCAGATGAAGCTTAATACACATGTATCAAGCCGCCGTCTAGCGACGTATCATCCTGCTGGACACCTTGGCCCAGCTTGCAGTTCTTGATGAAGCTGACATACACTGTATATCAAGCTCGCCGTCTAGCGACATATCAGCGTGCTGGACCTCTTGGCCAGCCCGCAATCTTATCCGGTCTTCTGGGTCACTGGCCCGGAAGCGCCTTTCGATAAGAAACTTGATATACAACCAGTATATCAAGCTCTCAGTCATGTGATGAAGAAGTATGCTGGAAGCACTCCAGCTACTATCACCAACACTCGTCCATACCATCATCTGGGTCCTTGACCCGAAACAATTTCTTAGACGAAAGGGCTGATATGCTTCAAGCATAACGAACCCACCGTCTGGTACCACACGACAACATACTCGCCCAATTCGCGATCTGAGCTTCTGGCCCGGACACGCTTACTTAGACGAGTGAAGTTGTATCCCAGGTACCCCGTGACCTTTGTCAAGTCGTCAGCGATAATATACTGCTTAGATTATATTGACTTGCCTTTTCTGCTGTTCTTCCAATCTTTGGAACTCCAGAAGAGGCCAGAGGTGGTGGTGGTGGTGGTGGTGGACGGCTGGTTCCATAATTGTTAGCCTAGGTCGCAGTATGCCAGCGAGCAAAGAATAACACGCTAGATTATCATGAAAGGAAGTGTTGCATTTCATTTTCCATCGGTGAGTTGAGGGGAAGGCAAAACCTGTGAAGCAAAGATACATAGTAAAAGAGTAGCAAAGAAGACTTACATTTTTTTCTGGCTACTCCCAATGGAAGCAGCCCCTCAGCTAGTCATGATACCATGACTCGCCAGGCAAGATGATGGGAGAGGGGAGTACAGGAGGGGAGTACATGAGGG